TTCAGTCATGCAATGAATCCTCTCCCTTAGCCCCCCCAACAACATTTCAACTTCTGACCTCAGTGTCCACCTGCACAGAGGCTCTTTCATCATACAACACATCTTCTTTATGGCTCACTCACTCGCTCACTCACTCACTCACACAAACAGAACATACGTGTGCAGACTTAAAATAACTCACACACACACAAGCGCGCACAAATATACACACAGTTAAAAGCCTCATCACCTTTAGCCTTCTGACCCCAGTTAACTAACTAACCTCTTGTTATTTCCCCCCCCCTGTTCACTGCACCTCTTTGTGTGCGGCCTCTCCTGAAAAGATCCAGTCATGCAGCACCGGTAGCCGCCGGGCAACTTCAGCTTTCAGCCGATCAACATATCCATCTTTTTTTTTCTCTTCTTCTTTTAAAAAAGAAAAAAGAAAAATCGATTCACATAAACACAGCGACTCAGTCAGTTGTTCACTTCAGTATTCGAACTTTTAACCTTTGCCTTGTTCGGCCTCGGCCATTTTCTTGCATCTGCTATTTTGTAAAAGGCTTTTATGTTGTTGTTTTCAATGCTAATGCAAAAAGCCAACAGAAAGCAGTGAAGTAACAAACAGAGCACTTAGTATTTCTATATTTGAACTTGATGTTTGCATGGAGACGTGCTACGTATAATAAAAGCGGCATATTCAGTGGTTGGTAAAGGAGGGAGGGGGGCAGCAAAAAGAGCACACTGCCCCTATCTTCAAATGCACATTTTCCAGAATAATTGGAGTTTTATTGACAGATCTTACCAGATGTCATCGTCTTTAGGCCTCCAGGACATCTTAATGAAATCTACGCTTTCAGCATTTGAACCTTTAACCTTGTTGTTTACATATGGCCATGTGTTGCTAATGCACAGCGTCCGTCAGCACTATGACCGGACTGTTAAGAATCCGGTCCCCGAGCTAGTCAAGTAAAAGTTAATGATGCATACGGTTAGCTTCTTTCCATATGAACTGAATCTGAACTTCATCCTTTACCGCGTAGTGCTGTCATCTATTTTCTGGCGATTAAATTTGTAAATAGATAATTAACCGCACGGTGACTTCGTGTTAAATGGAATCAAATTACGTTTCAGAATAGACTGAAATGGAAAACAATCTTCAAATTGAATCACCTGAGTTTGAACTTGCAACCTGTCGCCATGTTTCCGCACGGAAGCTTTCCTAATGTGAATAAAAAGGAAAACCTTACCTTTGTTCCAGCGAGCATTATTCATATTAATATATTTGTTTTCTTTTTTTATTCATAATAACTGGAAGAAACCTTTTAACAGTAATTCAATCTTTTCATCTGACATACTCCAAAAGGAAATGACAGAAAGGATCGGCTACACAACACTATTGTCGAGCTCAAATGTACAAGCTCTCTGAAAAGAAAGATGGTAAATACACGGAGCCATGGGGCTTCAACTCCTCTCCTTGTAATGGATGGTCCGCTGACACCATTCTGTTGCCCCCAGTGCTTGGAAAGGAAAAAGAAAAACAGGGGGGGAAATGTTTCAGTTTAAAGTGAAGATATGTTTTCAAGGTGGAAAGACTTTACTGGCAGAAGTTACTTATTATTCCCTGTGCCCCCTTAAAAAACTTTTTGTAGTCTTACTGTTTGCAGCCATTGGAGCTTTTGAAGTCTCTCGCAGCTTTGAACTATACACCCATGCCTTCAGACTTCACCATTATTTGCGCGCTCACCAGCACGGGTTACATCTGGGCCACATGTCAAAACGGTTAGCGATCAAGTGCCAGTCAACAAACCACTGACACAACAGGGCAACTCAGGCAGTCCTCGCAGCCTGGCTGGATGTTTGTCCGCACCCACGTGAGTCCCGCGTATTCTCTGGGTGGAATCTGTGTTTAATTTAAGTTTGACTGAACAATTAGGACATTTCCACTCAGTATACACATTCCCCGCTGCTGAGCGAGGAGCTGCATGTTTATTCTTACCCGGCGCTGTTTATAGCACCGCGAACACGAAGAGGGCATGTTGAGGTTAGTGTTGAAACCGTTTCGGACTTAACTATATGCTGGAAATGAATTTTTAATCTTCATGCAAAAGTACTCTCCATAAATAGCAAACATACAGGCGACGCAGTGTTGAATCATGTATGAAGTTGCCTACAGCACCAGTGGAATGTTATATTGATTATCTTATCTTAAGTTGGACGATAAAAATATGCACATATGTAGGACATTACGCTTTGTGGAAGGAGCCTGATGTTTCAGTCCTCATCTGACCCAAACCAGCTCACTGGCCGGAGCTCAGGCTGCAGAACATTTATTTTGGCCAAAAACTGCTCCTAAAACTTTCCGCACTGAAATGTTCCCACTCTTAAGTTAGTGGTGCTTATCATTCACAAATATCCACCTGGTTAAATCTGTAAATGACGTGTGCAGATTTCCCCAAAACAAACTCTTCAAATTCTTTAAATTCTCCGTCACTAATCATTCAGCACATTTTCGGGGTTAATTTGCTGGCAAGTCACGGCCTGTTGTCTCACTCTGCTACAAAGAGGTGCACTGGTGTAACTAATGACATGAGCTAAACGCAGGGGTGTCCAATCCTGGTCCTCGAAGGCCACGGTCCTGCATGTTTTAGATGTTTCCCTCTTCCAGGATCGTTATCAGGCTTCTGTAGAGCTTGATGATGAGCTGATCATTTGAATCAGGTGTGTCTAAAACATCTAAAACATGCAGGATTATGGCCCTCGAGGACCAGGATTGGACACCCCTGAGCTAAAGAGAACTATATCCCAGCACTGGAATGAATGTGTCCTGATATTTAAGGACGTGCAATTCGAACATTTAATATGTTACACCACCATCAGTGATTTAGGACTGAACTCGGCCCAAATATGTCAACGCCCTCAGGTCCCTTTGAGCTCGGACTGAGGAGTTTAGTCGAAAAGCTTTGTGACAGGTTTCATTTGAGTTCACTTTCATATTTTTTTTTTGTCACTTGAATTTATCATCGATTCAGTGTGTTGTGGGCTGGCGGTGTTTTTCACCCCAGAGGCTGATGAAACCCGTTCAAAGCCTATTGTGTCATTTTAAGGCTTTGGATTTGACCAAAATAAAATAAGGCTGTTTCTCTGCCGCTTGTCCCTCCCTTCCTCTTTCTCTTTCTCTCTCTGTCTCTGGCTCACAGAGGCTCACTGTAGACCACTGCTCCAGTTCCCACAAGCTGAAGCACAGCTCATTTCAGAAAGTAGTACTTGTGAGGGTAGACCCAAGATAAAAGTTAATTAGCACTCTGGCAGCAGAGGATCAGACGCAAAGAAGGACAAAACAACAGTCTTAAAGGAATAACCTGACATTTTGGACTCATTTTTAATAACTAATTTTCTTTCTCATGTCGCTCACACCAAAATTTTCCAATGCTGGCACTTGAGATTCCCAAAAAAAAAGCAAACTAGCAGCGCTGGTGTTTGTCATTATAATCAATAGGTCACATTAGCTACCAGCTAGCTCATTAATTTGCAACCAAAGACACTGCTTTCAAGGAAGAATGCAACACTAATGATGTGTTTTTATGTTAGCTCAAGACCAAATTAAGACTTTAATACATTTCACGATGTGAGAATTCCCAGGAGAGGACAAATAACGCACCGACTCCCAAACGTTATTAACTCTCGCCGAGATTAGGAGGATAATAATTTTGACAAAATGTGCAACCAATTGGTAAAACTGTGGCGGAAATGGCAGAGAAGTAAATCTACGATCATCTGTAGCGATGGTAAGGAGATAAAGGAGAGATGGAAGAAGCGGTTGTGCGCTGAGTGTAGATGAGGAGACAACGCAAGAAGAAGGCCAGAGAGAGGAGCGTGGTCAGTAATGTCTCTGTAATAGGGTCAGAAGCAGAAGTCCATTATGAAACCCCCTCGAGGCTCTATTTATAGTGACCCGAGGAGGGAGGGAGGTAGGGGAAGGATACAGAGAGCAAGTGAGGTAGCGGAAAAAAAAGAAGAGTTTGAGATGAAGACGCAAAGGAGGGAGAGGAAGACTGAGAGAAGGAGGTTGGATGGGAAAGATGCCAGAGAGCAAAGTAGGGAGATGAAGTGTTGGGAATGGGTGAAGGCGGGAAATGGGCATTGAGGATGAGAGCAGGAAGTGTGGAAATATGCCAAGAAGAAAAGGGAGAAGGATGGAGGGATGACTGAGAAGGACCCAGCAGGGGAGGAGGAGAGATTGGCAATGCACAAGAGAGAAACCAAGTTGTGCGGTCGGAAGGAATGAGGGTGGTAGGGGAGAGTGGAGGGATAAGGAGGGAAGAGAGAGAGAGAGATGGTGAGCCTCCAGATGGAGAAAGGCATGAGCAGTGAAATGCCTGATCCAATTTTATCTTCAGCTCTGAATAAAATAGCCAAAATATGGGAAAATCTTCAAATGAAATAAGCCTGTAAGCTGTTCTTTATCATTTGATTTTAGGCCATCTTTATTATTCCACCGTGTTTGTGAGTGTGTGTGCGTCACCAAATAATAATCTAGCAAACTGGGCAGAGCGCGGTGTTTTAATTCCTTTTTGAGAGAGAGAGCAATGTGGATCGGGAGATAGCTGATGAGGTAAAGGAAGGATGGAAGAGAGAGGAACACAGATATAGCTGAAGAACAGAAGAAAAACACGAGGAGGAAGCTGCAAAGCGGAGGAGATCTCGTCTCAAAGTAGGGTGGGTAGAGGTCGATGAGGAACGTGCCTCTGGGGAAGAGACCTAAGAAAGAAGGATGGCTAAATCTATGTCATTACTCCGAAGCAAAAGGAGGGAGAAAGTAGGCTGCGTGCAAGAGGAGAGAGAGAAAAGGCGAACGGTGTTACAGAAAACGCCAATATAAGCAAGTTTTCTAAAGAAATCAGGGACGACATCACAGACCGGGATGAAAAGGCGAAGAGGGACGCGGGACAGATAAGAAGAATAAATATCATAAAGGCACATATACCTCCTGCACAGGGAGATGCTGACAGGTAGAAAATATGCAAACGCTGAACGGCGAGAGGAAGAGCCAGCTGGATGGTAAGATGGGGATCATACAGCACCGATATATACACACAAGCAGCCAGACATGCTATCAGTTGTCAGCCTCCCAGAAAAACATTATTCTATCTCCCTGAAAATAGAAGTCCTTCCCCAGCCAATGTTTTGATATTCTAATGCACTGCCCCGCGCTGGCTGCTTGTATTAATAGCGATACTGAGCTGTGATAGTAGAACATGAATGAAAGCGAACCCTTGCTTTTCCCTCAGGCCTGGGATAAGGGAGACAGAATCCATCTGGAAGATAACATTACACAGCAACTTGCACAAGTTTGTACCCCCACAAGCTTACATAAGACTATGCATATGAATGAGATATTCCATCTGCATGTGTGTGTGTGTGTGTGTGTGATGTGCGTACATTTGGGTGTGTGATACAAAATGAAACTTGTGCATTACAGAACTGATAACTGTTGTTCATGATTGTGAAATGACTGTAATTATTTTTCTCTGACTGCCCATGTGGCTGCCGGTTTCTCCTTGTTTTCTTATCTGTTCTTGGCTTTTGGTGTTACTGCAGTATTACCGCATTATTCAGTTTCTGACAGACCCTGTCATTAAAGGGTTCTGTGAGTTATACTTGTGACAACTCGTGAACTGCAGTCCTTTATGTTTGACGCAGAAATGCATAAGTACGATGTTGCGAATGGAGCTGGACGAATTATGAGGTCATGTTTGTGGAACTGAGAATACAATGAAGTTGTGATTGCAGCATGAAAGATATCTGGAGTCTGGTTGTTACCTAGCGTGACTGAGGAGAGGTAATGAGAGCGAGGGGGAATTGAGAGATGGGAGACTTGCCCTAAATGGCCTGCATTTACTGGTTCTCACACCAGTGACCTATTTCAGAGGGAGGAGGTGGAATTAAAACCCACAGCGCAGCCAAAGGACTCAGACAGATTCGCTCTCATCTGGCGATTGCAGTGGCTGATAGTGTGACATTTAGGGCTCCACCCATGTACCGAAAGATACACGTACAAAAAAAAACTGTAACCAAAACCTCATCTCTTGGTGCTCAACCTTGAAAGAGCAGAATCTGATTTAAACCCCTGCTGCGAACCATCCTGTGGTGCCCACTGAGGTGTATCCATACACTGACGCTGACTTGCACTGCAGAAACTGGAGATAAGCTCTGGCTTAAGAGCCATTTCAGGACAAACGAGGCGTCCAAAGTACTCCATATAGAGCAGTGTACTGTATACCTTTACCCCTGTCTCCCTCTGAGCCTCAGAGCCAGAATAATTTACAAAATCTTGGAGTGACAAAGAAACCACATGCAGAAGAATGCTTACGGCACGGAAATGTGCTTAAGGCGAGAGGGAAAGACAAAACCGAGAACAGAGGAATGACAAAGATAGAGGACAGGAGTGAAGCTGTACAATAATGCAGGAAATGACAACAGAGCAGGACGAGCAAAGATGCAGTCCCATTAGGTATCCGTGTGTGTGTGTGTGTGTGTGTGTGCATGTATCGCTTGGCAGAGACGACTTTAAAAAATAGCTTCAGAGTGCTCTCACACTGCCTACCTGCAAACGCCCACTCATCAGCTGCTCCAGTGCTGCATGTGTCCCTGCTTAAAATGTGCCTGTGCCCAATTGTATATATGTGTGATGTATCCCCAACTGTGAGCGTCGCAGTGTGCTCTCAGCCAAGCAGAATCTGAAATGTTTGTGCCTCAAGTCAAGTCCAGTGAGGAAACATTTTTCCCTTTTTTTTTTTTTGTTTGGTTTTCGTTATGATAAATACTTTTCTCTTTCCTCCTCCTGTGTTGTGCTTCTAATTGCTCTGCTTTCATCTTGAGCTCTGTGACCTCATGGTAACAAAACTTATCAGCGATATTCACATCCTTGTGGTTTAAATGAGCGTTCCAGCAAAAGCTTGTTGCAGAAATTGTTAAGCACTTTGATTTTTAAAATTTTTTGTCTTAATATTATGGCTACTAATTAGTATGCTGCATTGGAGTTTGTACCAAAGACTGTTAAAGAATTTGTATCTGAAAAGTTGGCGTATCATCAAAGTCATCAGGCTTCATCCCTTGTGTATGATGACTGTCTGTACAGACTTTAATGGTAATATAGCCGCTAATTGCTGAGTCTGAACCTAAAGTGGTGGGCAGGCCAACCGTCCCTACAGTCACACTGTGTGCACTGTGGAAAACTAAAGGAAAAGATACCATCCATCCATCCATTATCTATACACCGCTTAATCCTCACTAGGGTTGCGGGGGGGGCCTGGAGCCTATCCCAGCTGACTCAGGGTGAAGGCAGGGGACACCCTGGACAGGTCACCAGTCTATCACAGGGCTACACTTAGAGACAGACAACCAAGCACACTCACATTCACACCTACGGACAATTTAGAATCACCAATTAACCTCAACATGTTTTTGGACTGTGTGGGAGGAAGTCAGAGAACCCGGAGAGAACCCACGCTGCACGGGGAGAACATGCAGAAAGATCCCGGGTGTCCTCACCGGGACGCGAACCAGCAACCTTCTTGCTGCGAGGCAACAGTGCTACCAACTGCGCCACCCTGCAGCCTGAAAAGATACTAAATAAATTGTAATAAAAAAAAAAGGGAATTTCAACCTTCAAATTTAAAGTTGTTCTGCATACAAGCCATAACAAACTGTTTAAAAGTTTTTTTTAAGAGCCAAACTACTTCTGGAAGTACACATACATGCAGGCACATGTGCAAACAGTTCTGTTCTAGAACATTAAATACCCACCGACTGTATATTCACACATATTCAGATGTACAGAATGTACTCACATGCAAGCGTGGATGCAATAAAACGCATTTGCATAAATTCACATGCACATACACCACATACACATTGCACAGACTTACAGTAAGCCTGTTTAAAAATGCATGGGCACTGACCGCCCTCCTTCCACACACAGCAATGTTAACCGTACGCTGACCTGATAACTAAAGGCAATGTAACTTTAGGAATTATAATTTCTGAGTAAATAAAATATGCGTGTCACAGATACCACTCCTGTTGGAGTGCGTGTGAGTCTGTGAGGGATTTGTATTCATACGCTGTACGTGGCTGGTGGTGAATGTGTGTGTGCCTGTTGGTGCGCGAGGCTTTAATGTAATTATCCAGGCTATGAATATCGCCCCACAGTGTCAGTGTATGAATACATTTGAGCTCGCAGTGATACCGCTGGCATGTACACGACAAAAAAATGGAGAAAATCAAAAAGTTGTCATGACATTATTACAGAAGAATCCAATAAACTTTGAAAGAGAGGGAAAAAAAATTACATGACTTCTTGGACAAAACATCGTTCTGCTTCTCTCTTTGTTGCTCTCCTGTTTTCGAGATTTATTTATTTTCTTGTTGTTTTTATTCTCTTCTATTTCTTCAGTGCATATTTTACTTTTACTAAGAGTCGGATTTTGGTGAACTGTATGGGGTTTTAACCACCAGGATACCGTCGATTTATTCTTTTTTTCATTCCACATGAAGTGCCTCTCTTGGGTTCTTTGTTAACTGAGGCCAGCTGCAGCCTGACTGAGTCACCCCTCTTCAGGCAGGGCTGTAAATCTAGTTCCAGGCTTTAGTTGGGGCCTAATATGTCACGCACATTTAAAGTCAGAGGACGCCGACCAGCTGTCACTGCCGGCTCCATATTGAGGTAGTCGAGCATTGAAGTATTTTCTGCTATTATGAATAGCCCATTATAACTCCGAGAGCCTGGTGGATAAATAATTGGCTATGACAAGGAGTGTGCTGTGCAGGCTGTATTATATCTTGCGGGGGTTTTTTTCTGTCATCAAACCGACATGATTGGCCACCCAGTCTTCGAGGCGCTTTTCAGCCGTGTACAACAATGTAGATGCTCTTTTGTATGAGATGTTATCTGAAAACTCACAACAAAAAGAACATAAATTACCTTGAAGTTGAAACTCTAGACTCTTCCTCATGCTTCCCTCCACTGTAGGGGAGCCGTATACGTTTGCATCAAAAAGTTTCCCTATATTAGCGTATAATTTCGTTTTCTTGACGTCTATATTCAAATGTATGTAAATGCGATTGATCCCTGTGGAGGAAGGTAATGGATGATTAAGTTCTCTCCCTTTGCATATCTGCTCTTCTCTTTAATAATTGTGGCTTTTTAAAAAAAAAAACCTCAAGTTTCAAATGGATGCAGATAATGTGTGACCACTCGGTGTCTGGTTTCAGAAAGGATGTGACATTCCGGGACGTGGCGTATAATTCCCTGGCACGCCGTGTCAAAGAGATCAACTGACTTAACTCACCCTTGATCTCTTTTATTTATAAGCATATTTAACTGTGAGAAATGCACACACACCCTCCCCACGCCTGCATGCTGGTACTGTGTGTTTTATCGTGTCGTCTTTTGTCAACCCGCGTAACTTTGCTGGTCTTTACTTTATCGCCCTCATCTCAAGCGCTTATTGTGTGAAAACAAGTCTAGAAAAGGGAGAAAAGAAAACATGAAAGAAAAGGGAGGAAGATGGCAAGATTAGTGTGTGATTACTGGAACTAATAGTTTTGTTTTTTTTATTCCGTGTCCACTGGTGAACAGCTCCCAAACGCCCTCGACATATCAAACTGTGTATGGAGCTGTGCTTTGATTTGTTCTTTTGTGCTCACAATACCCCCAAAAAAACAACTCTGTGAGGGAAATAGACTTAACAAAAAATAGTCTTGGGGAAAAAAAATAGAAAAAACAAAACTTTTTTCTTATTAAAATAGATTGTAAACACTTTTTCTCAATAACCTTTCTTTTCAACAAAGACACCCTTAAGGTACAGCAGCATACTGCTGACCAGATTATTCTATATTAATGCCTTTATTAATGAAATTTCTCTATCGCTCTGCTCAGTGACCGTGGTTTACAGGTATTTCTTCAGGCAAAAGTGGGGAAACCTTACCCACACATATAGCTATTGTTTCGAAGCATGAATAATTGAATAGCGGATGGGTAAACACTTAAGAAAAGT